TTCTGTAGGCATGTTGTTTAGGAGGTGAATTGCCAATCTTTCTCCCATAGAACTGCTGGTGGATTGGAATCCTGTGCCTTTGGAATTGTAGCTCCTTACTGCTAGGCCACGGGAGCTCTCAGACACACAATAGACAACACCTTTGGTAACAGCAGTTAGAAGATAAGGAGAAATACTGCTTCAGGCAAGGTTGCTATCAGGGACCTCTCTAAAATTCTGAAGGGTAATGAGGTCAGTATGAAGGCTAAGGTGTACTGATTTAGGTCATGGTCTTTTCAATCACTTGTTATACACCTGAGAGCTGGACAACAAATAAAGATAACAAAGAATTGATGCCTTTGAGTTGTGGTGCTGGAGAAGAGCACTGGACTGCCAAGAGAACAGGTATGTCTTAGAAAAGGGCAGCTGGAGTGCTCCTTGGATGCAAGGATGGCAAAGCTTTGTCTCTTACACTTTGAACCTGTTAGGAGAGAATATTCCTTGGGAAAGAACATCATGCTTGGAAGGGTGGAAGGGCAATGAAAGAAAGGAAGAACCCCCTTCATCAAGAGGGATTGACAAAGGGAGCTCTGATAGCCTAGTGGCAAGAAGCTGCATTGCCATCCCAGATGTATTGTTGTTGTTGTTGTTGTTATGTGCCGTTGAGTCACTTGTGACTCATAACGACCCTATGTACAACAGCCCTAAACTCTGCTCTGTCCTGTGCCAATCGCACCGTCTCTGATACACCCATCCCGATTACACCAGTCACTGAATCAATCCACTTCATAGAGGGACTTCCCCTCCTGCGCAGTCGCTCCACCCTCCCAAGCATGATGTCCCTCTCTAAGGACCGGTCCCTCCTTAGAACATGTCCAGATGTACACGGTTCAAATCCACCAGATGCTCTGCTGGAGAAGGAGGGGAAATCTCCTCCTCTACCAGTCAGATCTGATTTGACGGTACACACACAGAAAAAAATAATAAAATAAAACAAAAATTTGAAAACATAACCATTTAAAAAAGATGGATTGACAAAATGAGTACATCAATGTGTATCAGAGATTGTGAGCCTGGTATGTGATAAGACAGGATTCAGATCTGTGGTTTGTAGAGTCACTGTGAGTTGAACTCTACTCAAGGGCACCTAACAAGAAGTAAACAATAGAGTAGGGCGGTACTCACTCCTTAGAACAATAAAATAAAAAGTTGAGGGATAAAGCTCAGAGGCAGGAAGAGGTATGATAAAAGGATTAATGGAAACTAAAACCTGAAGGAGGAAATGGGAGGGAGAAAGATAAAGCAAAATGTGTATGAATGACTGGAGGGAAAACCATTTTGTTTTGTAAACTTGAACCACAATTTAAAAAAAGAAGGAAAAAGAATCCAGATTACTGGTGTAACCATTATTATAATCTTGCTACAAGAGTACGGAGTATCACCTGCATGGCAAAAGAACAGACATGTCTTAGAGAAGGTGCAGCTGAAATGTGCTTTGGAGGGAAGAGAAGCAAAGTTTCATCTCACATACTTCTAGCTTGTTGCTAGGAGAGACTAGTCCTTGGAGAGGGACATCATGCTTGGAAAGGTGGAGGGACGGTGAAGGAGAGGAAGACTCTCAACCGGCTGGATTGACAGCGACTACAGCAATGCACTTGAGTGTGTCAGAGATTGTGAGGACAGCACAGGATGCGACAGTGTTCAGAGCTGTTGCTCACCAGATTGCTATGAGTCATACTCTACTTGGGCGCACATGACAACAACCTGGGCACAGCAAGGAAGCCTAGGCTAGTAGAAAGATTGCTGGCTTTGGAGTCAGGTGAAGCAGAATTTGCTGGGACTATATAATTTGAATTCCTAACACATTTTGAGAAATGGACATAAGATTGTCAAATTCACCCCTTCCCTCCCTATTCATTCAATGTAAGGAGAATAATTTCCTTTCCCACCCCCCCACTTGAGATGAGTCTTGTGCTGTGGTTGTAACAAAGTTGAAGGGAGGCACATGTCATACAAAAGCATGAAAACCTGGGGAGCTCTGGTGGCCTAGTGGCAAGAAGCTGCACTACAATCCCAGAGGAGCACGGTTCAAATCCACCAGATGCTCTGCCGGGAAAGGAGGGACAATCTCCTCCTGTACCAGTCAGATCTGATTTGACGGTACACGCACACACACAAATAATAAAATAAAAAAAACCCAAAAAAACAAAAGCATGAACACCCAATAGTCGGCTTATGAAGCGAAAAAAGATGATCAGGACAACAACTTTCTAAAACTATCAGCTTCTAAGTGAGCTCTGGTGGCCTAGTGGCAAGAAGCTGCACTGCAATCCCAAAGGTGCACAGTTTGAATCCACCAGATGCTCCGCTGGAGAAGGAGGAGCAAATTTGAAACACAAACAAACAAACAAAAAACCAAAAACAAAACTATCATCATCATTAAAATCAGGAAAGGTATGTGTCAGGGGTGTGTCCTTTCTTCATCAGCTGTTCAATCTGTATGACTCAACAGCATGTTAACAACAACATTCACCAACATTTTATAACACCAGGGACGTTTTAATAATTGCCTCCTTCTTTGAAAAAAGTCGAATTCCACTTTTTGCCAGTGTTTGGAAACGAATGGTTTCCCTAAGTCTCATTTTTTTCATCTGTAAAATGAAATGATAACCAGCCGCGTGTACAGTGCACACACTGGCACATCCTCTCTCCCCTCACACGTCTACATATACGTAGAGATCTATCCTCCTCCTCCATCAGACATGCACATATGCACAGAGATCTACCCAACGTGTCTGGCATGTGACAGGGAACTGCTAGTCCCCTTCCTGGAGCCTGGTTGGGCCTTCATTCCATCTATTGTTGTTAGGTGTCATCTAGTCGACTCAACTATGACAATTTATAGTTGATCTGTAAACTGCCATAGCTCTCCCTTGGAGCAGCTGGTGGATTTGAACCGCGTATCTTTGGGTTGACAGCATAGCTCCTTAACCCAATAGACCATCAGAGCTCATTCATTCCATCTGCCCCAATCCAATGGCCTTCCTCCTCTCCTGACTCTCCTTGGGGGAGAGGAGGGGTCAAGCATAAAGAACCACTGTATCCATTTTCTCAAGTGACTTTATTGGGGCAGGGGGTGACATGCATAAGCCATGGCCTGAGTGGAAGTGACCTAGAGAGGGGGAAAATGCACTCCATCCAGTAGAGTATGGAGCTGGGGTGACAGCTAGTGTTTCACCCCACTCTTCCAGCCAGGCAGGGTGGAGGAAAGCCCAGCTGAAGGGCTAGGGATCTGGGAGGAGATTTTACTATCTCTGGATACAAAGAACTTTTGTGTGCTGGGATCACTGGGCGGGGTAGGGTGGGGAGAGAGAACATGGTGTGTGCAAAGGAGAACAAGAGTCCATAGGAAAGATAGAGAAAGCGAAAAATCAGAGATACTGATACAAAGACTAAGAGGAAAATAAGGAGATAGAACAGCAACAACAAAAATTTAAAAAGAACCCGTGTGCAACGGCTGCGAACAGCAACTCCTTGGTAGTATACTTCGCCTGTTGCAGGTATGGGTTGCCCTAAGGGACCTTGGAGACAACAGCTTGAAACAAAGCAAAACAAAACAAAACAACACACCAAAAACATAGGTCTTTGTACTTTCAATAAACATTGCAGGTAATTCTTAGTTATCTAAATCCTGATTAACTGCGTGTAAATCCTTTAAAGCATTTCCCTGTCATCTACCTATGTACTCTATTTTTTGGTGTGTTTTTTTTTATTTAATTTTATTATTTTGTGTGTGTGTGTGTACCATCAAATTGGATCTGACTGGTACAGGAGGAGATTGATTTGACTCTAACAACAACAATATGTGCTAATGAATCTGACTCCGTGGGTTTTCAGAGGCTTTTAAATCACAAAGGAAGAGACTGCCCAGCTTTCTCCAACAGAGCAGCTGATGGATTTGATCTACGGGCCTTTGGGTAGGCAGCGGTATTCTTAGACCCCTCTGCCACCAGAATTGCTATGAGTCAGAACTGACTTGACGACAGTGGGTTTGAAGTTCGTAGGGAAATGCCTCAGTGATGTAAGTGTTTTAGCATTTGGATACAAATTCATTTGAACCTGCCCAGAAAGGTACCTCAGAAGAGAAGTTTGGCAATCTGCGTGTGAAAGGTCACAGTTATCAAAAACCTAGAAGCAAATCTATTCTCACTACCATGAGTCAGAAAGAAGTCCCTGGCAATGGCGTTTGGGTTTTCTCTGATGTGTTTATGAGATGTTACTGCGGGCAGGAGGTCACATGTTCCTTTCAATAACTTTTAAGAGCACAGAGCTAAAAACGGACCTCTGGTAGCATAGTCCGTAAACAGGTGTGCTATTCACCCAAAGGTCACACTCCTCTGACTGTTCAAATACACCAGCAGCTCCGAGGGAGAAAAATGGGCAGTTTAGAGCCTCGGAAAGTCAACAGAGGATCAGCCATGAGTCTGTTCCGCCTTGACAGCGATGGGAGAGTGGAACCACAATGTTCCCAAATTAGGGAATCAGGCCAGTGTTCTCAGGGCTGGTTGGCTGTCACGGGTGAAGGTTTGTTTCATGCTTGTTTGAAGATGCCTTCCATTGAATTGACAGTCACTGGGGACTAAAGCCTAAGACGCACAAAACAAAGCCGCCACTTCACTCTTCTGGTTTTGTAACAGATTCATTTATTCTTTCATTCTACAAACCCTTTCAGAAAACAGCCTCAGCTCCCAAAGCACTGACACAAATGCAGATCCAGGTCTCTTTCCGGGAGGCCAGAGAAAAGGCAGATGGGAAGGAGAAGGGAGATAAAGGAGGTCACTTTCTTCTAGCACCTGTTCCAGACATTCAGGAGATGGAACACAGAAGGGGAAATTCAGATCAATGGGCAAGTCCAACTCACGTCCTTCTTAGAAAGGAATTCCTTGACAGTGTCTTTGAGGAGTGGCTTCTGGGTGCTGGGCACAGCTGGAGGCTCCCCAGAACCCGGGGGAAACGTAGAATCACCGGACCCAGTTGGATCTGATCCCATTGAAGCACATGTTGTTATAGCAGCTGCCTCGGTAACTGGGGGGGCAGGCAGAACACGGCCTCCCCATCTTGTACGGCGCCTCCCCTATCCAGTTACCCCTGGAAAAGAAAAGATGCCCCGGAGACGGGGTGGGAGGGCAGAGGATCGTTAAGATGTGAGTAATTTTTCTCACAGGTTGAGTTTCCCACAAACCTCATACTGTCACGAGGTGGCTGGGTGAGCTGGGAGAAGTCACTCCTGCCTCAGTTTCTTCATCTGTACAACTAAGAGAAGATACTCTCTTACGGGGATGCAACAGACTAAATAGAAGACCATAGGTCACCTAGTCAAATGCTGTGGAATTGATCCTAACTCATAGCAACCCACAGAGAGCTGCACACCATGTTGTTTTCAAAGCCGTGACCTTCTGTAAACAGATCACCAGGACTTTCTTCCAAGGAACCCCTGGGTGCATTTGAACCAACAACCGTTTGCTTGGTAGTTAAGCATTTAACCATTTATGCCACCCAGAGACTCTGTACCTAGCCCAGTGCTGGCAAATGAACATTGATTTTTATCACCTCTCCTCACCCTGAATCATCCCATGAAGTCAGTGGAGTCTGAATTCTTGTCCTTGACTCTGACCACACCATCTGCTAGTTGGTGACAGAGAATAAGTCACCTTATTTCTTAGGGCTTGTTTTTACCCATCAACAAATGAATGGATAGGAAAATGATGGTGCATTCACACGGTGGAATATTAACAGCATTGAGAAACAGTGAACTTGTAAAACATTACACACATGGGTGAGCCTAGAGGACGTTATGTGGAGTGAATTATCTCAATCACAAAAGGACAAATGCTGCACAACACTGCTGTTATAAAATAGGACTAAAATCCTTCTTTAGCTTTTTATAATAATGTTCTTGGGTAATTCCCCCCCTTTTTTTCATTCAACATTATGTTCTGTAGATTCATTCCTCTTTCTTTTTTGTTTTGTTTATTTTCTTTTTTTATTATTCCTTTTTATGTGTGTACCGTCAAATCGAATCTGAACGGTACAGGAGGAGCTTGCCCCTTTTTTTCCAGCAGAGCATCTGGTGGATTTGAACTGCATGCCTCTGGGATTGCAGTGCAGCTTCTTGCCACTAGGCCACCAGAGCTCCCTTTCTAGATTCAGTCTTGTTATACATTCCTTCACTAATTCTTTCTTCTTTATTAACCTAATACTCCATTGTTTGAATGTCTCAGCATTTCCGTAACCATCTGCTAATGGACACTGGGGTTGTTTTCATCTTTTTGTGATTGTAAATAATTGTGTGATAAGCATAGATGTATAATAAAAAAAGACTTGTTTTTATCCTTTGAGTAAAGGAAATAAATGGTGTCTCTGAAGATGATGCACAATGACTGATGAGAAAATACTTTCTAATTTGCAAGAGTGCTGTGCAAGTGAGGGCTGTAGTAATCAGAGGGTGAGCATCATTCAGTCCTACGTAGGGGCATAGCCATCTAGAACTGTCATAACCACTGCAGCCCATTTCTTTAACATCTCTATCCTAACTCCATCACACCTGCTCTGGAATGAATCTTCCCCCCCCAAAAGTAGTGTCTTGGGGGAGCTCTGGTGGCCTTGTGGTAAGGAGCTGCAACTACAATCCCAGAGGCACGCGGTTTGAATCCACCAGATGCTCTGCTGGGAAAAGGAGGGACAATCTCCTCCTGTACCAGTCAGATCTGATTTGACGGTACACTCACACAAAAAACAAAATTTTTTTTTTTAAAAAAAGCAGTGTCTTCATCACAGTATCCCTGTGCTGCTCAAGAACTTGTACTGGTTTCTTATTGCTCATGAAGGAGTTGGAGACATTTTCTAAGGGCCGCATAGTAAATATTGCCTATTTTACAGGTAAGATAGCCTCCTTTTCAAATACTCAACACTGCTGTTGTATGGTGAAACAGCCATATATCAACTATAGATGTGGCTGTATTCCAATAAACTTTATTTACAAAACAAGGAGCAGGTTGGATTTGACCTTTTGTGGTTTATAGCATCACACCTCCAGCTTTCAGTTAAGCATCCAGGATGCTCCTGGAGCTCATAGATCCAGCTTACACGCCTCATCTTCCCACAATCCTCTTCTCCTCCTCAGCCCTCACATTTCTCTTTTTCTCATTCTCTTCTGAGACCTCAAATGATTCTTTCAGCTCTTCCTGGTGGCTACTCACCACTGGCTTACACAGTCAAATGCCTTTGCATCGTCAGTAAAGCACACATAGACATTTCTTCTGGTATTCTTCGGTGTACATGAACCATAAGCTCATCTACACTGAGACCAAAAGAACTAGACGGTACAAAAGCACTAGCAGGTACTGCTGCCAACCTTTCTGATTAGAAAGACAATAAACAGATCTTGAAAAAAGGGGAGAGAAGTGTGGAACAGAATTCACATTCTTTGAGGATTCTCCAGTCTGTTATCCTGAGATACTCTTTAGCCAAAACAATTCAATGAGGTCATCTTTTAGGTAAATAACAGAGTAGCTCATGAAACAAATAGTACCATCTGTGAGGACTATAATCCTTTAAAACATTATCTATATGAGACAAAATGGTCCACATTTACTCAAAAGCAAAGACCACAAAGCAAGAAGGCAAGGAAACTATATTCCTACAACACAACAATTCTAATGGAAATAATGAAAAAGCTGAAACATTGGAGGGAAATGTAATCAATGTCACTGAACCAATTGTGTAGAAATTATTAGGCGAAACCTAGTTTGCTGTGTGGATTTTCACCAAAAACACAAAATATTTTCATTTTTAAAAGGGAAGGAGGCTCAAAATAATTGCAGAATGTATTGAGATAAAGCCTATTTCCCAGGGGAGCTCTGGTGGCCTAGTGGCAAGAAGCTGCACTGCACTCCCAGAGGAACACGGTTCGAATCCACCAGATGCTCTGCCGGAGAAGGAGGCGCAATATCCTCCTGTACCAGTCAGATCTGATTTGACGGTACACGCACACAAAATAAAAAATAAAAATTAAAAAAAAATAAAAAAATTAAAGCCTATTTCCCATCCTCAAAGAGTTTATAGCCTCATCTGGTGACTGCAGCAATGGGCTCAAGTGTGTCAGAGATGATGAGGCTGGCACAGGCTAAGACAGGGTTCAGATCTATTGTTCATAAGGGTCGCTATAAGTCATACTTTACTTGACAGCACCTGACAACAACAATGGAAAATGGGGAGTTCTGGGAGCCTAGTGAGTGACTTTACTTGACAGCACCTGACAACAACAAT